ATACGTTAGAAATGAGACTGATACTATTGAATATAAGAGACTTTGGATGGACAAAGATGTAGTTAGGTTCCTTATGACTTTATATGATGAAATGAATTTTTTGGGATCCAATAGAAGAGAAGAAAGTTTACTTGGAAAAGGGACTTCACTAAGAGTCTCTTAGCTCCTATGTTGTTCATAATATGAAAATGAATACAAGGAAAGATACATCAGAAAACTAAGGAGCAAATAAGGTAGAAATGTACAAATATCTTGGAGTCTGGTTAAATAATAGAGGTTCGGTATTAAAACATTATTAAAAACACATGCATATATCACAAAACAAGCTGGAGGCTAAGGGTACTGGAGAAAATTTTACCAATGAGACATATAATCAAACTATGGATAATTTTCATCAAGCCGCACTTCGATTACATATCACCTATATTATGAGTATAAAAGAAGTCTATGATAGATAAATATGATAGATTGTGGAGAAAAACGATCAGAATAGTAACAAGGGTACATAAGTAATTTAATGTAGAGGAAATTGAGAAAATATTCGAGTAGGTGCCACTTTATGGGGCAGATGGAGATTATTGTTTAAACAATGGAAGACAATACTGACTAGAAAAATGTGTAGAGGTTTTTGAGGACTTTTATATAGATAGAATTTAGAGAGGAGAATAAGAAAAAACATTTTGTTTCAAAGATTTAGAGGTGATAGAACCAAATGCCGAATCATAAAAGGTTGAAATCTATGATGATCCGCTGATTGAAATGGGAGATTGGTTAGAACATAGAACAAGGATAGCACATTAAGCAAAGATAGAGAAATACAACAATAGACTATAGTAACATGAACTGGTATTAAATAGAATACCAGATAAATCAGAATTGAATGCATTTGAACTTAATAGACAGAGATAATGAAAAAAATTACTATAAATCTAGACTCAATATAATAAAAATAAGGCAAACAGAAACGCTACAGGCTGGATACAAATAGAGCGAGTGAGATACCAAACTACAACTATTTTGATCAATGGAGATACTCGAATCTGAAATGTAAGGACTATGGAGCAACCAAGACCACTTGATGCAGTATCTGAAAGAAGATTATAAAAAAGGAGAGGAATGGATCAAAACAATTAAGAAGATAAATAACTGTTTAATGAATCCTTCAAAATTTGGGAAGAAATGCGCAGCAAGAATGACAAATCAAATGAAGTGCGTGTTGAACAAAATTAGAGCAACAATTGAAAGGTTTGGAGAGTTCTTCAAAAAGAATTGAAGAAAAGGTAACAAAGAGAACTGATTATGATTACTCATATATTAAACATTTATCATGTTGGATTGATTAATTACAATAAAAAGTAAAATAAACAGTCATATATTTCAAACACTATTAGTTGTAATATATCTCATACACAATTATGTACCATTTTGAGTATTAATTAGAATTTTTCTGAAAATGTCACTGAAAATAATAAAAATAAATAATTCTTATAAGATTTTTTTTGTCATTTCATTCTAAATTACATGATGCATTTTGAAAGTCTAATTTTCTTTTCTCGAGACTCTTACTCTACGATAAAAATTTGTTGAATCCAAATTCAATGTATTTGATTACTACTAGTTACTAAAAATTTCTTAATTTTAAATATAACTTATTTCTATTTATCTAATCATTTAAAATTAATAACATCAATCAACCTAATTATGCAATTGAAACTAAATATCCTAGCAGTTCGTTGATTTCCAATATATTATCCATCTTTAATTTTGAATTCCTAGCATAGATATGGACGAATCATAATAAATTTAAAATATATTTCTCTAAATTATTACTATTATTTAGTATGAAAGCTTCTCATCGTTTGACATATTTATAAATGGTAAACCTTTTTAATAACAATCCTACGATAAAATATAGATAGATAAATATATCAATCACAGTTATTTGATCTAGCACTTAAACCTTCAGAAATAGGTCCCCTTATACTAACATAGATTATACTGCTTTTCATACTTTGGATGATTTTTTTTATAATTGATTTTTGCAGATACTAAAATAACTTGTTATAAAGATTACTTCCAAGCTTTTAACTTTTTATCTCTCTCATCAGTTGTAGAATATCTAATGTGAATTAAAATTTACCTTTCCTTTAATAATTTGGATGTTCATATTTATCTTAAAATTTAGGTTATTCCGTACTCATTTTGTGTGATTCTTCGGATTTTATTGTTTCTGATTACTTTCTAGAGTTTTGATGGGGTTAATAAGTGAAAATTCTATTTTATAATAGGGATATTTACTATCTTGATTTTAATTAAATATCTTCATTAATATGAGGTGAATTCTAACGTATATAAGCATCCTGAATTCTTGATTTATTAAAATCCCCTAAAGAGAATAATAAACTTGCATAAGATTTGTGTTTATCAGGAACATTTTATAACTTAGAATTTAAAGCTTCCTTAAACTTTTGAGTAGCTTGAATAGGTTTGTCAGGAGATTGAGTTGAATCTTTTCTCATAATCTTTTGTAAAATATTTGAACAATTTGTTAAATCTTGCTTAAAAGCATTTAATTCTCCAACTGATGTTGAGTTTTTTGTGCTTCTATATAAAGTGTTATTTGTTACTGTATTTTTCTAAGATGTTAAAGTGTATCTTCTTTGAATTAAGTATTTTTTGTCTAATGAGTTGTTAAGTTTTTATGAATAGTTGAAGAGGCTTTACATGTTTTAGCCTGTGGAGATATTATGTTAGATCTAACATTCACATAAATCAATTACAAATTTATCTACTTTTTTTAATCTTATGAAGCCTAGTTGGCACTTAAATTTAGTAAGGCCTATTTTTATTGCATCAATAAACTAGCTTTATTGCTTTCTCTATTTTTATAATTTATTAAAGGTGGATTCGATGCAAATTAAGGAGGAGAGTGGCTGTCTGATAATAACTCATAATCTGATATTTAATTTATATTATAAGATTGTACAATCTACTTAGTTTATAAAAGTTCAATCTAATTATTCATCAATTTTACACTATTCTACAATTTGAAAATTTCATATTGCAACTTAGCATTTATTGCAGATTTTTGATTTAGTTTTTCTACTAAATACTAAATTTTCTCATTTTCTGTTAATCTGTTCTAATAACTTATACTAAATTAATCGCTTTAATTTTTATCTATGTTAATAGAATATTGATGTTCTATTTATTAGATTCTAAGTTATAGTTTTTCATTTTCTTGTTTTAATTACAATGAATTTGCTTATTCAATGTCTAACTTTTATTGAAGTTCCTGTATTTTAGTATTCAAATCGATTATTTCTAACTTATATTAATTTTTAATTTATTCTTTATCTCGTTATAATGTAAATATTTATTATTTTAGTTCCATATTTCCAACATTATTCATTTAATTTTATTTTAGTTATTGTTTAATCATTGTTTATTCATAAGAACTAGTATTAGTATGATCTGCTTCTGGGATTACGATTTGGAGTTATTTTTTTACTAAGTTTTAGATCATAAATACATCCAGTGAATCCAGTTCCTTTCTATGGAAAACTAAATTTAGTGTTGTTTTTATTTGATGGGGCTGGAGGTTCCTTTATTAAATCTGTGTTTTTCTCTTGTAATTGTATTTCTGAATTTCTTATAGATTCGGATTGACCAGATATTATGGTACTTTGAGGATGAAACTCTTCAAAGACAATATATTATATTTATGAATTATCTTTTTCTTCATCTAAATATGATATTTATAATAAATTAATACTTATTATTGATTGCTTTAAATTAGAACAGATTGACTCCTCTTAACTGTTGGATTTGATTTATTAAGATTAAAAGGATTAAGATTATTTAGAGAAGTTTAATTCTTGTTGTTATAAATTCTCTGGAATTTAGCTGCAAAATTCTTCAAATGTGTCGATTTCTTGAACCTGATTGATTTTGAATTAAGTACTTTTGGCGTCTATTCTTTTTACGATTATTGTGTATCCAGGAAATCTAAAGTGAGTCCAATAGGCTTTCTCATTTTAAATTTGGGTTAGTTAATTTTCATGAATTTTTTGAAAAGACTATTATTCGATAAATAAAACTTAATTAATATAAAATAAATAAAAAGTAAAAGTCATCAATTCAAAGCTCTTTTTTCAATCACTATTCTAGTTTCTACATCCCATTCTATACGATAATAATATGTAATAGTCCAAGTTTTATGTGTTAAAAAATTCCTCACAATGAACAACTTGATATTTCTTTATGATTGTCTAGGCTAATACATAATCATTAGTATTAGTTGAGAATAATTCTTAATTTCCAATCCATCTTTAAGCTCTTTGCTTATGACTGTGTACTAGGTTCTAAAATAGTACAAATTTTTCATATTTCACCAATATAATTATATCTTCATTTTTTATGATAACTTTGTTATTCAATTTTATAATATCACCAGAAATTTTTATTTCATCATATTCCTCATAAGACAATCTTTGTCTTCAAAAGCCTTTTAAACAATTTAAGCAAGTTTCTATCATTTATATAATTTTTTGAAAGAAGTATCTTAAATGTTTTTTTATTGTTTTTTTGAAATCCTTTATTTTATTATAGGATATGTCTCAGGGAATTATCTATTAGATTTCAATTTCGATTGATTGTTATTGTTTTTCCAGTGCACAATACTCATTATTATTTTAATATATTTCCAAATTATTATTAACATCATATAGTGAGCGAAAAATAATTTACAGCCATTATCATCAGTTCAAATTAAGATTTCTTTTCATACTATCCGAATTTTAAATTAATTTATGCATCTTA